TCTACCCTTCTCCTTGCCACCTCTCAGTGTTATTAAGGTGCCTGTTGTAGCTGTTATCTTCTTGGTCAGGGCAGAATGGGATGTTGCTCCCAGGGGAATCCACAGCTGTTACCCCTCAGTCAGCAAAGTAGCTGCCGAGGCATGTCACCCTTTGCTTTTAACTCCTGAATCAGTCTATCTGTTCCGTAGCTCATCTGGAGGAGCAAGAGAACCGGCTTCTTGGCATGGCATAGCAGTACCAACAGGCTGTCCTAAGCTCTGTGCTCCAGGCTCTTTCTTCCTCGTGAGTGTATAGTTTTAAGCGTTGCATTTTAGACACCTCATTTGCTTTGCTGCCCAACAAAGATTATGTCGGGGTTTTGGCACAATTGGATTAAACTAGCAGTCCTGGATAACTTCCACTGGCATTTCAGGAGATTTGCTGTAAGGCAAACCTGTGACATTCATACCTTCCTAAGCTTGCACAACTAGGGCGAGAGCTGCAGTTGAGGTCTTGACCTCAGTTACTTAAGCCCCTTTCTCCCAGGAGCGTTCATCACTTTAATCACAGAGTCCTAAATAATCAGTGGGTAGCCTGTAATTAGGGGGTTGTGTCTTGGACTCCTGCAGCCTGCTCCCGGTGTGCTGAGCGCTGCGTATTTTGATTTCCCGTTCCCGCAAAGGATGTTTGATCTCAGATTTACACTTTAGAAAATTAAGAAGGGTACAGCACCTCAGTCCCCTGGCAATCTTCCTGCTTTCAGTGGTAGGTGCCTTGCTTCTCCTAAGTATCACAGTGCTGCGGCAATTGACACACTTGATTTAAGAGTTTGATTTATAGACCGATATGCGGGCTGAAAGTCAGCAGTTCCAGGGCTGCATAAATCAGCCTGTCTCTGGGACTAATACTTCCTTATTTATAATGTCGATAGGAGATGGAATTCTTTCTCAGTTCTTTACATTTCTTTCAGATGTAATCGACCACCCTGTCCTTTGGTTTAAAGCTATGTGACTTTGCCACAAACAGAGGGAGGGAGAAGTAAGCCGAGTCGAGGAATTGCTGTGCTATAAAAGCTCCATATTGTATGCTCTTGGACTTTGCTTTCTCCCAGCTTCCTTCAAGCCCACACAAGAGATGGACTTGAGGTTTTTTGGCTTTCTTCCCCTCCCCCCTCCCTCCCTCCATAGGCTGACCTTTTAGAAAAATAAATAAAAGATAAAGAAGGACCTGGAATGTTGCAGAATGTGTGTACATTTTGCTCTCTGTTGTTTTCTGCTGGGATTAGTTGTTTACAATGGGGGAAGAGAGGGAGGGCAGAGGAAGGGAGGTCTGTGGCCTTAACTGAAATTAGTGGCATTTCAGAGTGATCTTGTTAGGTGGTCTGCAGTTTAAAGACCTAAATCCTTGTAATCCCCCCATGCCTCCTTGGCCACTACTCCTTTTGCTCTTGTTCTCTCACTTCCAAAGGAAAAAACCCACCCCAAAGTCAGCCTCTCTGTAAGACACACGCACGTACGTGTGCACAGACACAGACGTACACGCATATGCTTCCATTTGCACGTTGTACCTGTATTACAAATTAATGTCTTAGCTACATCTGTTCCCACTACAGGACTGGGCTTGTAAAATGCTCTCTGCAGAATGCAGACGTACACCGAATGTATTTTTATTTATTTTCTCAAAAACACCCAGCTGCCAGACTTTCAGTTTGTGATTACACTTACAACAAATTCAAATTGAAATTTCGGCCATAAATCAAACGCCCCAAATTAGTTCCTCTTGTGGGTTTGAACATGCTCTTTGGATTTTAAGGTCAGGAGATATCCGTTTTCACCGTGCTGAAAAGTTTAAAAATATACTACATTTTCAGGGAGGGGGGCAGAAATATGGTTTGCATTATAAAGCAGTACATCAGATGTGTGTGTATGCACACACACGACAGTGTGGATGGAGCTGGATGCTGTTGGAGCACCTTTGAGGACTAATAGCACCTAATTGTTAAGCAAGGCAGGAGCCACGGTGGCTGTTTAGCCAAGGAGAATATAGCAGAGTGCCCCAAGATGTGACAGTAACCCTGTAAGAGAATAAAAGTTTATTCCTTACTCTTCAACTTAAAAAAATGGTAAAAATTAAATAAACACACAAAATACTTCTCTTGGCAGGCTTTTATAACATACTTCTTGAAAGAAAAAAAAGGCATTTGCAAGTGGTTTCAAAATGGCTGTGTTACATCTGTCAGCGGGTGAAGGGAACACCCACAAATTGTGTTTTTATCTCTTGAAGTTTTGTTCCACTTGAGCAATAAAAGCCGGATTCGCTGCTGGTTTGTGTGATTGGGGTAATCTGAGCATCGAGTATGGTTTTAAAACTCCTGCATTTGGTTGGGTTTATAAGTTTTAAGAAACTCCCGGGGTGGTGGAGTTCTTGGGTTTTGTTTTACCTTGGCACTAGGGAAGGGTTGGTTTGCAAACACCTGGCACAGACAAGTTCATCTTGGTTCCCTGGCCTGTCCCTCCCAGCAAATGGTTTGGCAAGAACTTCCCTTATCTTTGATGTTAATGTCATCAGCAGTTTCTTGGTTACAATGCTAGTTGAAAAACTATCCCCAAGTAGGCTCTGAACGCACATGCAGTATTCTCCAGCCTGAACTCCAGACCAACAGCTTAAATCTCCTCTCTGCTGGGGTATATCCTGCATGAGGATAATGCTGAGAGGTGGAGTGCACTCACAGCTGCTCTCATGCTCAGAAGCCATGATAGATGGTGGGAACCTAAAAGTTTGCAGGGGAAAGCTCTCATCCGCCTGTCTCAGGAGGAGGTATTTTGGAGTGTGCATTTTGGATGGGAGCCATTTCAGTGGGAAGTGAGCAACCTCTCCCATCGCCCTCACTAGTCCTGCTGAAAGCCAAGTCAGGGTGGCAGCGGTGGGCAGTCCTTCCTCCCTAGAGGAAGACAAAGTTGCTCTCAGTGATTGCTCTTGCGCAAGACGATGGCCTGAGCTGCTGCACGGGCACATGAAGCTATTGGAAAGGAAGCAGATCGTGACAGTGTGAGAGCAAAGGCAGGCAGGGGTCTGCTGTGTATCTTTGCCGCTTTTTATCTTATTAACATGTTAGTAAAAACCTTGCCAAGGCAACCTGAGCTGGTTACTTGTGGAATAATTGCTCACGTTGCCTCCTTATAGGTCAGAGGAGGGGGAGTTTAAGTGAGTTAAAAGAATAATTGTTCAGAGGGGACAGTCTGTTCAAGGGGGGTCGTAACTGCTAACCGCTGCGACTGAGGTCCGGTTTTATTGCTTTTACTCCTGCAGAATTAATGCTGGTTTTGTGGGGCAGATGGTTTCTGCTCTGACTCACACAAGCAACAGAATCGTAATATGTTTAATGGCACATTCTGTACACTAGATAATAATGATGTGTGAGCAGGAAAATGCTAGGAATTAATTTTAGGATCAGCAGTCTGGAGTGAGGAGTGATGTTTCTCTCTTCTCCTAAGGACCATGGCTGGCTAGCTCTCCATTCAGTACAGAATGGAGGCTCAGGGCTTTGACCTGATACCAAAACTCCTCTATGCTGTTAGTTCAGACACCAGAGTATCAATTCTGGCCATGGGGCAGCCCAATGGTGTGGTTCAGCTGTATGTCACTAGTGCAATGAGTAGTGGTGATGCTTGTGACCAAGATGGGGAATGTTTGCAGGTCATTGAACTGTGGCACCCACCATGCAGAAATTCATGACTGAGATCAGCTGTTCAACTGAGGATAGCAAGAATATTCACAGTTGTTATAGTTAGTATTAGCAGAAATACTGGGGAGAATATATGAAATGCCGTGCTTCACAGCAGGGTTAATATGGGGAAGCAGATGACCTGCGTCTCCCTGGCGTTACAGATCTTGCTTACACTTTCTTCCCAATCAGCTGGTATGTCAGACTTAGTATTTTTAGACACTTCTTAGCTTGGTGCCTTCAAATTTTGTGTTTTTCAATGACAGTTTGTCCTCTTGCTTATCTTTGCACGTGTGAACATAAGGAAACAAATAATTTGCATCATAGCTTGTTTTTTCTCTGTAGCTTTGGAAGGAATTTATCAGTACTTGTGGTGCTGAGTGAAGAGCATTTCAGGACACATCACTGACACTAGTAAAGATTCACAGCTTCCATTTTACTGCATGGAGGGGCTCAGACCAAACTCACTGAGTATCTCTCAACAGGGGAGTTACAAAGCCAGCACTTGGACTCTGAATTTCCTTCCTGTCTGGACAATCAGATGAGCAGATTTTTAAGCTGGTTATCACAGATTCAAACATATTTTGGAAGATGGTTATCACAGATTCAAACATATTTTGGAAGAAGGTGACTTTTGGTAAAGTTCCATCCTGTGTAGCATTTCAGATGTCAAAAGACTATGTGAATGTGAAGATATCCAAGGAAGATGGAGCAGGTCCAGTGTGGGTTACATTGGTTCAGTGCAGAGTAATTACGTTTGGGTGCTTGAACGTGAACAAAGCCAACCAGCTGAGGTATTGAGCTGTCCCTTCTCCCAATCCTTGCTTAGTGCCTGGCAAGCTGGAACATAGGAAACTTCCGAGAAAAATGCGGAGGCAAGGACTGAGCTCCTCTTTTGAACTGGGGAGCTGAGCAGAGAACGCACTGCTGTAGTTACCCAGACTGTCTGTGAAAACACAAGACCTGATCCAGGTCCCAAGTCCCAAGCCATTGTCTTGTCCATGAAATCCTCTGGCAGTGTTTATTCTGTTAAGGAAATGTAGAGGAAAGCTGTTCTAACAGGAGGGGAAACTGGAAACCCTTTTTTGCAAACCCATTCTGACAGCTGGCATTTCATTTTTTCCAGCAACTGGGTGTGAAGATCAGGAAAAGAATAGTGGAGTTCTTGAAAAAAGAGAGAACTGAACCTGCTCACAGGATCATGTAGCAAGCTCATTAGATATCCCGGTGAATACCTTTGTTTTGTACCTGTCATTTTAAATTATTTTCTTGCTTTACTTTGTGTTTATCTTGTAGGTGCTGTCTTCAGGGCAGTGTCATTTGTCATAACGCAATAATAGAGAAGGGTGCAGACATCAAAGACTGTTTGATTGGAAGTGATCAGAGGCTGGAAACCAAAGGTAAGCAACAGAGCTGTATTTACAGTACATTTGTAATCATTTTCAGAAGTTCTTCCTTGAGGCTTTACTCCTGCTTCTTCATGAAGTGCCAGTAAACGGTGGCAGTTCTTGAGTGTAATGTCCTGTAATACTGGGATTTGCTTTTCATGGAAAGTACAGCTTCTGGGCATAAGAAAATACAGCTTCAGGGACTTGGTCCTCTGAAGTTGGCGGAAAAGGTCTGTTGTCGTTATAAAGAAAGATTGGGTGCTAAGACAGTCTTTTCCCAGAGACCACAATTAGATCAGCCTGGAGTTGTCCTCAGCAGAAGGAGCCATTACTTGGACTAGTAATCTTCGTCAGTCAAATTACTGATCGCACAGACGTCCTTCTCTGTAGATGCTACCAACCCACAATGCCAGCATGCTCCTATTCACCTTGCTCCAAGCAAGAGCACGAGATGGAATATCATACTAGGAGCTGCTGTGCTCACTACTAAATACAAGAGCAGCTATGTTCAGATCTGCTTTACTGCTGTGAAATGCTGTTTTGGGACTTCAGAGGGATTACAACTACGTGGCCCTCATTTGGGCAAATTTAAGCCATCCGCTGGAAGTGCGCGTGGGGAGGGCTCGGTGGTAACCGCCTGAGTGGAACTGCTGATTTCCTGCCCTAAGAGATAATGGGCAGGAAATGGCTGTCTCAGTGACTGCATCCCAAGCAGAGGGCTTTTAATGAATATTTATTGTTGGGGTTTGGCAGATCCCCACTCTAGGGTGTGGACTGAGGACAAAAGTGAGTTCCTTTTCAGGCTCCATGTGAGGTTATTTACTCAGATCAGGATTTGTTTGCTTGCTTTGTCTTTATGGGTGGATTCTCAATTGTAAGTGTTGTGGTACAGAGCAGGGTTTGCATTTAATGTAGTATAAAGTAGCCTACTGTCAGTCATGCATGTGACAAATTTTCCTTTAAATTGAAACTAAAAGTGAAAAAGACTCCTGAAAACAGTGTATTGATTTTGCAGTTGCACATCTCTGATACTGTAGGGAACACCCAGTGAGTGTTCTGTGCACTGTGGTCTTGGTTCCTGTATGCCAGTCTTTGCCTACTCATGGCTTTGCCCATCACATCAGTCTAAATCAGTGGCCTTTGCAGTGTTCATTCAGTGAAGATTTGCACTATTTTTGATGCCTGAACATAGAATCATAGACTCAAAGGCCTTTAAGATCAGTGAGTCCAACCATTAACCTACTACTGCCACACTACCAAGCCCACCACTAACCACGTCCTGAAGCGCTATATGGGCATTAATCAGTAGGAGATCTGAATCAGCTCATGTTTGGTTGTTAAGTTGCAGCATGAACTATGAGGAGATGGAGCGTAGGCTTTAGCTATTTAGGAAATAGGAATATGTGTTATTTCTTTCATAGATTATATCAAACAGAAATATCACCCTTTGACCTTGCTCACATCAGTAGTCTCTTCCAGGGTCCAGATCCTAATCTCGTTGATTTTAGAATGGAAATCATTTGTTCTCCTTGATTGTCCTTGTCTGAATATTTTTCAGGGTCTGCAGATGTATTTGCAGGGAGAGTAACAGAGCTATAACCTGTGGTTCGTTTGCCTATTTTTGTAGTCTACTGCCTGCTCACCTCTCCAAAGCTTAAACCCACTTCTTAATGAGTCTGTGGGCCCTCTAGTTAAACTGTTCAGAAACCTATGATTGACGTTAGCAAAGACACACTCAGGTAGATCATGAATACACCATTATGCTGAGCAAGAAAAAATAATAAAGGCTCAGTTCATTTCCCTGCCTCAGTTTCCTAACCATTCTGGAATTTCTTTGGGCTGGGGGTCAGGTTCTCCTCGGTGGTCTGGGATCTGTCTGCGAAGTTCATGACTTACTTCCTGAACTGTGGAGTCTTTCCAGCCCAGCATGTCTCTTCTGACCTTGGCTGGTCCTGTAGTAAACTGGGTCCTCTCTTTTTCGCTGTGAAAGCATGCCATGACTTCCTTTCCCCTGCCCAAGACTTCCTGTATCTTGTGCCAAGCTTTTGGTGTGGCCCTGTAAGTCTGTTTCCATATTCCTCCTTTCATCAAGACTTTGGCTGTGTTGTTCTGTTTGGTAACTTTTCCTTCTTCAAACTCGAGCTTCCATGGCCAGGTTAGGGAAAAAAAACTCTCTCTTGGGTTGGAGCCACCTTTTGTTGCAAGCTGATCACACTTGAGCAGACGTAAGCAGTAGCAGCTGGCTGCTGACCCTAGTCTGGGAGTTACATGCTAGAAACCTCCTCAGCAAAGCTGTGTACACCTTCCCAGAAACATGAAAAAAATAGAAATACAGCAGTCCCTTATTCCAGAGCATCAGCCAGGATTCATCAAAGGTAGAAATATCCCTGAATCATCCTACACAGCCCCAGGCAAATCCCACAGTTGACTTTGCTGCAGAACTGGCTGTGTGCTCCCTGCTCTGCTGTACGAGTCCTGGCCACACTGCTCGGGGTACAGGAGCTCTTTGAGCCAGTGTTGCTCTGACCTCCTTTCATGAAATGAACTCCAGTCCCATGCAAGGAGGATGGCAGGAGAACAGCTACCACAAATGATACGCAAACGTAACTCAAACCAGCTCTCGTCCTTCTGTGGAAGAATATGGGCATATTTAGGGTGGTCCAAATGGTACAGCTGGGAGTAATGGGATTGAATTAAACACAATTTAGGTTGGCTATCTGGAACGTTTTCCTAACGATGTGGTCTGGTAGGCTGTGGGATAATATCCCTAGGGACATGGCGGGAGACCTCATCACTTAATAATGGGGCTTGGCAAAGCTCTGGACACCTAACTAGAGGGAACACTCCAACACTGGTTACTGGGGTAGATCAGATGCAGCTTAGTATTTTCAACCTGAAAAGAAAGTTAGAGACACAGGAAGGGGCAGGTAACTGTCAGCTGTGATGTCCCAGTCTCACCTTAACTTAAGCCCCATCACAGCACTGGCCAGAGATGGTACTTTTAAGTGCCTCTGTTAAAGTCAAGGTATGGAGTTTTATTAAACTTCTGGATTTGCAAGCTGTGCCTCCTGAGAGTCATACTATTCTCTTCCTACTGCTTTTATTACCATGCTTAGGAAGCATCCACTTTCCTTCCTCTTTGATACTTTAATTTAAGGAATTTGCCAGCAGAGAATTAACAGATGGGCTTTGTGAAGCTACCTCATGCAGGTAGCAGTTTGAAAAACACTTTGGTATCTAAGAAAAAGGAGGTAATTATTAAAGGGGTAGGAAATGGGAGGCAGCAGTTCTGGAAGAACTTAATTGCGCAGAGCATTCAATCACTGTTTTGAAGACAGCTATTAGAATCATGCTCCAGCCTTTTTGATGAACCTATTTTAAAAGAGGAGCTCAAAAGCACCATTGAAGTAGGACTAGAGGGAGGGAGTGCTGGTGATGGGCCAGTCAAGGAGTCAGATGAGCCCTGGAGTCAGTAAGTACAGTTCCCAAAGGAGTCTCTAGGCCAGATTCAGCGGGGAGTACATTATACATCTGGTATAGGTTATCTGGGAAGAGGCATACACAGTAAAGGGCCTAACCTTTCTTCAAAGCAACACCAGGAACAGAGATGGTAAAGACACACACACACATAGGATAGAACTAGCAAAACTGACATAAAACTCACCGTGTTATCTCTCACCCTCATCTCTGTTGTTGTTGGGGCAGGGATGGTTTATGTGCATTGGGAATTATGGAGCCAGTGTTGTTTAAGGACAGCTTGAGTCATTGCACATCGCAAAAGTGCATTACAGGAGTGTTGTTGCCACAAAGTGTATGTTCAGAAAGGGAAAAAATACCAGCATTCAGGATGCTGATGTAATCTTAGCTTGGCATCCTGGTGCATACTTAGTAGCAGCATCACCTCTGTGGTCAGGCTGTAGACTAGAACTTCAGTGTGCTTGTTCCTGTGCAGTTTTTGTGCCACCATATATTTTTATTTTCCTTGGTGCTTTGACACAGTCAGCACCTAGAATGAGTAGTGCTTGCTGAATGCCGGGGCTTTCCATATTCCTCATTTTCCTGTCTTGTTTCAGTTTGTGTCTCAAACCTTAATTACTGCACGCTATGCAAGAGGCAAGATCCTTCCTTTCTAAGGCTTTTCTGCAACATTTGTCATCTTAATGCTTCACAACTGTTAACAGCTTCACATTTTACCTCCTCAGCGTGGGTTTTTTTCTCTGTTTTACAGAGACCTGAGAGACAGGGAGATTCCAATCATGTACCTATTCATTTGGACTGGCCAACTTAAGTGCTGAAGTTGGATGTTACATATGGCATTTCCTAGCTATTACAGACTTGACATTCTAGCCTTAGCATTTTCTTTGTGCATGTTGGGAGGGAAAGTTCAGTCCACTGAAAAAAAGAAACAAGAGAAGTTTTATTATGCAGGATTGGCCCTTGCATAGACCATTAGCAGTGTCAAAAACTTGAACTCCACTGTACTGCCTTTTGCTGCTTCAGCTGATGGAAACTGATAGTGATGGATCATCTTCATTAAAAGGAGCTGGATCTGCAGTGGGACAAGAGAACCTCTTTGCAGGAGGTTTCACAGATGCCCATGGGCATCAGCAGCCCTCAGATCCACTCCTGGTACTGGGAGGAGAAGGCTGTAGTTATTGTAGACTTTACTGCTCCTATTCCCAGCACTGGCATTGAGCCCCAACTACATCTCCTATGTCCTACATGATCCTGACTTCACAGGTTGTGCTATGTCATTGTCCCAGGACCAGAGTCATCCCATTCCTAGGCTTCTCTTTGGTTTTTCCTCTAGTCTTTCTCCCACAGAGAGTTTTGATTTTCCCTCTTACTTGGTATTCCCAGATATCCACCTGACTGCTCCTCTGGTCTGAGCATAGCTGCTGTTTCCAGTCCCCTTGCCTAACAGTCCCATGCTCCATTTCCCATCTGGCACTTGTTCCCTGACTGTTTTGAGTCAGACTGTGTCCCATTCTGTACCAGTGTCGTGCCCAGGC